ATAGCACGCAAAGAAAACTTATTTTTTCATATTTGCCACTATTTTACTATCAGCATTACATATAAAAACTTAGAGACACAAGTAGGATCACCGATGGTTTTAGACAGTAAATATTATGGCTATGTTTGTGTTGTAGACATTGTGATCCCTGGTTCCTATCACCACCACTGTAAAGAAATCTGACTCACTGAGGTTTTCTAGAATAGAGCATTTCACTCACACCACTCTGAATGACTTTGTTTACATTGCAGTGATTGAAGTATGCAAAAATTAAAAAACGAATCAGTGGAATTCTGCATTTGCTGAGCCACAAGGGCTGTTAACACCTAAAAAACTTGATTATTAACATAGATAAAGCACTAAATAAATAGTTTTTTGGAGTTTATTGTATCACAACACATAAGCAGCAAGTTTTTTGGACATAGAATATCCCTACTGGACTTAACTGTTATTGTAATTTAATTAAATATAGTGATTTTTAATTATAAGCTATTATAGTGTAGGCTTAAAGGGGAATTCCACCTATTTTCAGAATTCCTGCAAAATTCAACAGTCATTCAGAGTGGTTTGATGTAAAATGCTCCATTCTAATGAAACTTATCAACTCAGGTTTCTTTACAGTGGTGGTGATAGGAACCAGGCATCATGATGTCTGCAATGCAGATGTCATTTTATTTAGTATCTTAAGCCACCAGTGAACCTACACGTATCTTCTGAGTTTTATGTATGTGTTGATAATGGTAAAATACAATGGCCTTTTTTAAGTCTAAAGCTTATCCTGAAACTATCATGATGCAATGTCTCACATATCAAGCAATGAATTTAGAACCATTTCATGTGATAATTGTCCATGAGGTAACTTTTAGAAGGATTGAGATGTCTGGTTGCCATCACCACCACTTTGAAGCAGTCACTAAATGTCTCTAGACAGTGTGTTTCACATCAAACCACTCTGAATTACTTCATTTACATTCTAACCACTTATTCAAAAACTGGTGTAATTTCCCTTTAAGGCTACTCTTGGTCTAAATGTTCAGTAGTAAGTGCTGTGCTGTGGTAATTAAAGTTTTTTTGTTTGTTTGTTTTATCTTATCTTCCTGTCTGAAGTTACATCCGGCATGTAGAAAGGCTCCAAAGATCAAACATCTAATGATGAGCATGTATGAATAGCTCTACTCTCGAGTTTCACCAAATCACCAAAAGAAGAAAAAGACCATTTTGTTGGAAATGGCTGTGATGTTCTGGTTGGCTCTTTGAAGCTGGAAATGTTTGGATTCACTCTGATGGACTGGTGCCTCTCATTTCAGAAGTCGTCTACCTGGACTGAGCCATTCATACTAGTTTCTTGTCCACTTGCTCTCAGTGGGTAATCTTCAGAGAACCATGATGTCCAGAGCAGAGGAGCATGAAAAACACTGCCGTCATTGTTGTCTTATCTCTGTCGGATATGTGTACGCCTATGCTCTGTGCTTCAAGAGCTAAGTAGTGGTTTCTGGTGGAAGCTCATTATACAAACATTTAACCTGGAGAGTGTCGTCTTTAGAAACTATTTCTTCACATCTAGGAATGCTGAGAGTGCTGCCAACCTTTTGATTCATTCATTTAATTTGATTATTTTTAAAGGTTCAAGAATCTCTACGTAGTGTTGTAAACCAATTAAAGATTTTTCCTCAGACCTGCATGTTTAAGCTAAGAACTCTTTGGAAAAATGTATTTTTATAGGGCTCATATCATGGAAAGATCAAAGTTTCAAAATGTACCATTCACTCCCTTTACCAGGGGTGGCAACCCAACTGTTAAGAACAGCCATTTGTCCTTTCAACAAAAATCAAACCACCTTGAGAGCCACAACATTTTATAATCATTTTACCATCTTGGCTGTAATATGAAAATGCAGACTTACTCTGTTTACTCAGCTTTAGCTCAGCTGTAGCCGCTTTTCTCACATCTCCAGCAGGAAACTTTTCCTCAAAAGTAGAATAGTTTCTTGTAAAATGCCTCTTGTTCTAATTTTCCCGTTCCACCTTAAATGGTGCCTGAGACGGCAGAATGTAACTGCTGCACCATTTAAGGTGGAACGGGAGAATTTGAATGAGAAACGGACTTCAGCTTCCTGACTTTTTAGTGTTTGACAGTTTCTTGTTGCAGATTAAATGTATCAGGAAACCAGCTGGAGTAATTACAAATGCAAAAAAGTCAATTCATCTCTAAATTATCGACGTTCGTCAAGCTTCGCGCCAACCTTCAGGATTAAAAGTTGGTGAATTATATTGATTGTTGAGTGAAAACTATATAAAATCATGGATTTTGTCAAACAAAAGAGGCACTAGAGGAAAACTGCATAACGCATTCATAATAATAACAGATTAAAATCTAATTTTAGGCCGGAACACCTTTTTAAAGGAATAGCAACAAAAATGGCCTTTGCAATAATAATAGTAATAATAATTTCTTTGATTTGTGTAATGCATTTATCATATTTATAGTTTGTTTAATTCTAAGGGATAAAGAAAGGTTGGAATATTAATGAATTAATGAATATTAATGAATTATAGTAGCTGAAGCCACACCAGTGCTGTAAGTGGACCACAAGGTAGTGAAATAAAATAAAAAAATGTACAGTATGGGCCCTTTAAGAGTGCACAGGTGTTATGTAATGAATGAATGAGGCTGTAAGGAACGTGGTGCTTTGCTCTCTACATTGACTTGTTTCCACATTGCGTTGGAAGCAGTACAGAAAAGGGTGCGGCCGCTACGTGAACTCGGATTACTGCTGATACAAAGTATGTGCTGAGCTGAAAGGGGAGTACCACTTCCTGAACATGTGAGAACAGCTGGATTTGATTAATCCTGCTCTCATGCTGTTCGTGTAGCAGAACTAGAGGAAAAACAACATGATGAAGTCTTTAACACACGCCTGTCTGAATCCACCGCTTTCAGTCAGAACTCATTACTGTCTTTGACTCATCGATCATAATGAGACAGAGTGGGCAAAACCAGCGATAGGCAGTAGCACCAGTTGTGCAACATTTTTTGTTTTTTGGTATTTGTTTTGCAAAGTCAGGCTTACACACACCAGCACACCCAATGACTGGCTGATTGTCAGTAATGATACTGATTCTACTCAGCTAGATTTATTTACATGAAAAGGCGCAGTGTAAAATGTGCTTGATGCGTTCAGAATGCATCTGAAATTGATGTCTTCCTTACTGAGGCTGCTGGTAAACACAAATTGTGCGTAAAACTGCTAATAGTGAACAATTATGAGGCACGGGGTCACCATCAGCACAAAGAAAGGGCAAAAGAGAAATGCTCAGCTGAGTGATGTTCTTTTCCAGAATAGAATTTGAAAAACAAAGGAAAGTTAATGCCATATGAGTCACTATGTGAGGAGATCTGTGTTATTTTGTTAAGTCTTATTTTGTTGGTAAATACAGTTGTATGCAAAAGTTTGGGCACCCCTGGTTAAATAACATATTGTTGATTTTCTGAGTGAAAGTAGATTAACACATCCTCTACAGAGAACACACTTCTGCACATTTGAATGCACAGTTACTGTTTATTTGCTGAATTTAATGTATTGAGGGGAAAAATGACATAAAATTTGACCTGTGCAAAAGATGTGGCACATTTTCATTAGATTTTTTTTCCCAGTAGGTTGAACTCATCAAATTTAATCTTAATTGTACACTATAATGTGCAGAAAAATGCCTTATTTGCCATATTTTCTTACACACACCAGCACACCTCATGACAGGCTGATTGTCAGTAACGATACTGATTCTATTCAGCTTTTATTTACAGATTTTTTTTACATGAACAGGCGCAGTGTAAAATGTGCTTGATGTGTTCAGAATGCAACTGAGGCTGCTGGTAATTACATAGGACCGCTAATAGTGAACACTTCTGAGGCACAGTGTCGCCATCAGCACAAAGAAAGGACAAAAGAAAAATGCTCAGTTTAGTGATGAAGAGTTAGCAGTGGTAGTGAATGGAGTTCGTTTCCAGAAAAGAACTTCTGCACATTTGAATGCACAGTTACTGTTTATTTGCTGAATTTAATGTATTAAGGGGAAAAATGAAACACAAAATTTGGCCTGTGCAAAAGTTATGGCACATTTTATATTTGATTTTTTTCCCATTATGTTGAACTCAGCAAATTAATATTAGTTGTCCACTAAAATGTGCAGACAATGCAATATTTCCCATGTTTGTTCCCTGCAGAGGATGTTTTAACTTCCTCTGGTTTCCCAATTACATGCTTTTACATTCTGTTAAGAGGCCGAGAAAATTTGTGCACAACTGGCCATTGTAAATTGAATGGAATACATAATTACCCACAATTTGAATATTCCCACAGGTTTTGTATGATTCTCTTTCAATTGCGCATGTATAAGAGAGTAATGAGTTTCCTCAGTCACATTTTTTCAGCCTTTTGTTTAGGCTTGTACACATAAGTGCACACACTTTTTGGAAGAATGCACCCAATTTGTGCCTGAAAGCTGGCTTTGTATAGTACATCTGATTTGTAGACATAAGTGGTCTAACTTTCGCGACCATGTGTTGCAGGAGGAGAAGATGGTGAACGGCTCCTGGATGAAGAAGAATGGGGTGATGCAGAGAGAGAGACCACCGGGCAGAGAATCACCTATAGAAGACAAGGTATGACCACGTTTAATGCCAAACACGGTCGCATTAACACAGAAAGAAGTGAGTGCAGTCGCTACTCCGTATGGTTTTAAGCAACATCTGTTTGGACACGCAAGTATACTACTCAAATATGTATTTTACTTGCCACAGTTTGAGCCTAGCAGTTTGCACAATGCTAATTGGTGGTCATAAGCTTTCATTACTTGTTGGCTCAAGTGCAAAACTAAATACTCAAGCGTGAGACACTAGACATGTCTAGGCTGATTAATTGGCTGATTTGGGGTCTAAAATAAAATGCTCCAAAGTGTGAATAGCAAAATAAATTGGGAACTAAGTAGATTACTTTATTCACAAATATACTTGAGAAGAAGTGAATATATTATCATTTGAAAATACTTTGAAAAGTACAAATCCCTTAAAACACATCAATTTACAGTCAATTTACCTAGACAGGTGGGCGTGGGGTACAACCTAACGGAGGGTAAAATCCAGCACAGTTTTTGTTTCATCCAGTAAAACTGGTCCTAGTAAAGTGTGCTTTTGACCATGTTTTTGTTTTCCTATATTTGTACAGCAGCTGGACAGATACTGCTCTAAATTCATCCTGAAGACACTTTTTATGCCATGAAGTGAACTTTTTTTTCAGAAGTGTTTTCTGATTAGTGTATAAGAATTCATTATTTTAGCTAGAATAGTGCATTTGAAGCTGAAGCCTGTTTCTAGGCGGTTGTTAAGATGTTTCTAGGCAGTTTCTATGGCATGAGGGGTGTGAACTGAGTGGTTCTTGAGGGGTTGCCAAACAGTCGCTAGTTGTTGTGAAAAATGAATGTGAGTCTATGGGGATAAAATAACGACACATAGAGGACTGGTGGTGGATTAGAACTTGGGAACCTGCCCTGAGTGAATACATGCAGTTTGGTGGCTGTCAGTCAAAGAAAAATTAAGAGACGTAAATAAAAGGAAAGTGATGGGAAAAAAAAGACAAACAGGTGAGTGCGGGTCAGAACAACATTGAATTCGTGCTCGAGGACCTGCCTTGAGATAGTATATTTGAAACTGAGTATTTCGGTCGAGCAGAGGTACGGTAGATGGACGTACAATTTTTTACCCTATTCGTTCCTGTGGGGAAAAAAAATCTGGATTTAATGAAGATTGTACGAAAACTGCATGTTGGATCAAAAAACTGTGTACACGCACACCATTCCCAATCAGACCGAACATTCTGGAGTTGGAACAGTGTCGATATCTCAAAAACTGCGGGATGAGTTGCCGGACAAAAATAAGGCAGAAAAAGAAGAAGAATGTAAATTGGATAACAATAATGTTGCATATTGCTTTTCAACGGCGTAATCACTAATTACTTTCTTGGTGGCTGTCATATTCACAGTTTTGAAGCATCCAATCAACTCACAGTGAGAGCTAAAATGCAGCCTCTATACAGCAAAGTAACTCTCAACTAAGCCACCCAAAGTAAGCAAGGAGAGCAGTCCATATCCCCCATATGAATTCAAAATAGTGGTGCTACTCCTGTAAAGTGCTGCATTTTCTGCGAAATTAACAAACTCCACTCTGTCAGTCAATCTTCTGACTTGTGAGAAGCGATTGGCTGCTATTAATAACACAAACTGTGATGAAACACACGATTATATGTACTGAAAACATCTGTGTGTGTTCAAAACACTTCATGCCAGAGGACCTAAAGTTTAGACGACATCAGACACAGACTGGAACCTTTTGTGGACACCCAAGAGTTGAGGTAAAGTGTCTGTTGTGTGTTTAAGCTGCTAGAAAAGGTGTTTGCTAGGACATATTACAAAATATGTGTCTCAGTTCAGCAAAGTTACCGAGGTAAATTCATTTTGCATTTATAAGCTGACTTCATAGACTCCAATGTGCGTTTCCCTCTCATACTGCAGATGGGCTTGTTGTCTGTCTCTCTGCTGTCATGACCAATGTCAACTTCGCTTAAAAATGATTTGGTTTTGAAGTTGTTTCAGAATCAAGTGTTTTGTGAGTGTAGCTTCTACATGCTCTAAACGTCACTAGACTCAGATATATTAGAAAAATATATAATCTGCTCCATCACCTGCTGGCTGGTAGTCCAGGCCGCTGTTGTGTGCAAGTATTATGGCGGGGGGGTTAGTGGATTGAGTGGATAGACCGTTTCCAGAGGCGAAAACTTCTAGCATAATGGTTTCTGTGAAATAAACATACACACATTTCTGTCATTTTTAGCTCTTTTATAATTTGCTGCTGTCAAAACCTTGTATCTCCAAAATGCTAACTTTACAGCAGAAGGAAAAAACATACATTAGTGTCAATGTAAGTCAATGGAACCTGATTTTTTTCTAAGTACTTTTGGGTCTTTTTTTTTTGGTACTTTTTTAATGAAATTTACACACAATGTAAAGGGTAACAGGCACTTTCAAATTAGGCCAAAAACTGAAAAACAACAAAAATTGAGATATGAGGTTTTGTTCCGACAGCAGTGAATTCATAGACACGTGCTTGTTGTATTTAAACTCTACACATACTGTAGTACCACTTTCGGTTTGAGGTATATAAAATAAGGTTAAATTTGTGGACCACTCAGTGGAAATTTGACAGATCATATGTTTTTCCCCATGGTATCTAGGTAGATACAGACAAACAACCTCTCTTATTCGTTTGGGTGGTACTTCAGGAGTTGAAGCTCTAACATGTTTGATTAATCACATAATTAGAAATATAATTATAGACATACATAATTAGGTAAACATAATTTCAAAGTAACAGAGGAATCAGCTCATCACATTTTGATTCCCAAAGCGTGGGACCACTTTAGACAGCGTAAAACATTTTTCTAGGCCTTGTGGAAGTTTTAGATACGTCATTGACTGTGAATGAGTCGTAGTCTAGCCAGAATTCAGTCAGTTATCAGGAATGGAAAACAGCGGAGGCAGTTCTACGTCAGGGCTCTTTACTGAAAAAGTCACCGTAAAACTGCTACATACAAGGAAAAAAATGATTATTTTTGTCTGTAACAAGCTTCAGTGCTCACTCTTAAAAACAAAATAGGGTTCTCCAAAGGTTCTTTAATAAAGAAAATGGTTCTATGTTGAGCCATGAGCACTCAAAGAAATTTTTGCATGATTGAAGGGCTCTTTAAACGGTTCTTCAGACTGATGGAGAATATGCTGTAGATGGTTCTCTATAGAGCCTTTTTGAAAAGGGTTCTATATAGCACCAAAAGGGTTCTTCTATTGTTATAATGCAAAAGCTGTAACAGTAGAAGAGCTCTTTTGGGTGCTATATAGAGCCCATATGGAGATATATATGGAGAACTCTTTCACAATGCAAAGAACGCTTTAATCATGCAAAAGGCTTTTTGAGTGTTCATGGTTCTACATAGAACTATTTTCTTTACTAAAGAGCCCTTGAAGAACCATCTTTTTTAAGTATGCTGTTTTTGGTACATAAAGCTGCAGTAAGGTTGTAAGTGGGGAAAAATAAAAATGAAGGAAACGTGGCATATGTGCCCTTTAACAGTTGTGTAACTGTATGTTTAGGGAAAGTGAGTATAGTATATGTATATAGCACTGAAGCAGTGCACTCTCTATACTGTAGGCTGGGCTGCAGAAACACAACACCGCCACTCAGGACTTTTTGTCACTGTCTGTTTCCCAACCTCCAGAACTGACCACTCAGCAGAGTCTGACCATGCACATACGCACACCCACTAAGAGAGAAACACATTTACAACAACACCTAAATATGGCAGGTGCTCACACACATATACAAACACCATGGTGATGTCCAGTCCTTCAAGTAAACACACATATTTGTTATTGTACCTTTTAAAGACATGGAGTCATACATGTGTATATCTTATAAGTCAGTGGAACCAGACATTTTTCCAAGTAATTCTGGGCCGTTTCTTTTGCTCCATTAATCATGAAATTTACACACAATGTGAAGAGCAGCAGACGTTTTCAAATTATGTCAAAAACTGAAAAATGCTGGAAATGGAGATACAAGGTTTTGTTCCAACAGCAGCAATATATAGGTACTTATAGAAGAATCCATATGTAATGATAATTTGGTCCATATTCTCATATATCACACACACCACACACACACACACATACTTATGTGTATATACTGTTTAAAAAAACTAAAAAATTGACATACAAGGTTCTACTCAGACAATGACAAGATGTATGGAAATCTAAGAATTTTTTTAAGCTTAATGTTAACCTCAGTAACGGTGGTGGACCTTTATAGAGTCAGGACTGCTTTGTTAGTCCTGTAGGTCGCCCTGTACTTCTCTGGTTTTACTACACTCACACAGAGATGGAAATCTGACCCATGTGGTCTTCCTCAGCACTCCTCTGGTGTGAGCAATGGTGTTGGACCCAGAGTGTACGGCGTGGTGCAGCGGACGGGCGAGCAGCAGCAGCAGGAAGTGACGGCCCGCGAGTGGCCGGTCAGTCACTTGAGAGATGAGATGAGGTACATCAGAGAGGTGAGTAGACACACACAGACTCGGGGAGAGAGGGAAAATGAACGGGGGAGAATAGTGATGATAGAGAGACGTCAGAGATGAGAAATGCATTATACTGCACGATATGGACAAAATATCATGTTGCAGTTCTCTTGCGACATATCGTGATCGTGATGTTCCTTGCAATATACTAAAACAACCTTGGTACAAAATCTGGATGTCTTAAGAGTCTTAAATCTTAAGAGAATGAGTGTGTTTACATGCACTCAATAATCCGATCATAATTGGATTTCTGCAGTTAGCTGATTATTCAAATGGTCTGTAAATAGTACACTCCGATTTCTTAGATCAGAGTACGGTCTAGAAATCTGATTAAGAAATCCGATAAAGAGCGCTGGATTTTAGCTCAGTAATCAGATTTCTCAGTGCAGGTAAACTCTTACTCTGATTTCTTTCGGATTTCTCAGTCTGCGCATGTGCAAACACAGACCGCGGCTCCGGAAATGAGCAAGCAGCGTTACTGCAAGATGGCAGCAAAACACTTTTGGAGCGACACTGAAACTAACGACATGCAGGACAAAATGAAGGATTTTAATATGTTTCATTTTCTAGATGATGTTTGTTCATATTTTAGGTAAAGTGGTGTGATGTTTAGAAATCCGATTACTGCCTGAATCATGTCGACCCGGAGTTTTCCCATTATCTGATTACCCAAGTGCATGTAAACCCATTGATCGGATATCTGAGAAAATCTGATTTTCTGCAGTTATCGGATTATGAAGTGCATGTAAACACACTTAGTGACACAAACAACACATCATCACAACAAAACATTGTGTCTTAGAAACTGAGACAAAAAAAGAAATTGAGAGTTGGGGGGAAAATGAAGTTGTTAACTTTAATGTAGGCTAATGTAAAGTGATTAAATTTATAATAATTTTCAAATATTTCTATTAGTATGTTCATCGTGGAATGTTCGCACAATGTAAAGAGCTGCAGATACTATATCTATTAATGAAACAAAATAATAAAAGCCAAAATCAATTACAAGGTTTTGATGACACCAACTCATGTGTTATACAAGAACAATGTATTTACTACATCACTGTACTTGTGTAAATTATGCTATACTGTTTGTTTCATTTCCAGAATAAGCTTTATTATAATCGTGGAAATTGAAAAAAAAAGTAAAATAATTGAAAAAGTAAAGTTAAATTTATCTTGCAGGTGCGGGACTCCTTAGAAAAGGTCCGAGAGCGGATGTACGGCCAGTTTGGAGGAATGCAGCAATCCATGCAGAAACTCTCCCAAGAATTAAGGGTGAGGACATCCTCTTTCAGAGAGACAGTCTAATTCTGTGTTTATGTTGTATTTACTAACTCTGATAACAGGCTTCGTCATAGCTTCCAGAAGAATGTAATGACAGGAAATGCACTGATGCTCATGGACCATGGAGCATATTTTTAATTGGTTATCATTTCACTCCACTTCAGCATTTGGTTTCATTGCAGTCACTCACTGTAGGCTGTATAACTATGAAGATAACAGATTTTAAATCAGCTCCTAGAATCTTATTATAGTTTCTACTCCCAATACAGGTAAACTCACCTGCCTGTTTGACAGTGAAAATGCAACTACAAACAGGGCTGCAGATACATTTTAATGTTGGCAGAGCTGAAGAGCGATGATAAGGAAATGCAGTTGCATATGATTGTTATTCTGTTTTTAATGTGTCAGACCATTAAGACAATGAAAATGAAATCTTAAAGGCACTTTGCTTTTCCATATTAACTTTTGGTAACGCTTTATTTGGAGTGGTCCTTTGTAGCTGTGGTGTTGATGTGTTTGTTACTCAGTGGTCTGGTGGATCCACCGCATTGTATTGTTTTTTAAATCAATACAGCCATAACAGTTTATGTAGAAATACCCTGAATGGCCCTAATCCTAATCCCAACCTTAACCTCAGCACAAAACCTAATCCTAACCCTCACCCTGGACCTAATCCTAAACTTAACCTCAACCCAAAACCTAATCCTAACCTTAACCTCAACCCAAAACCTAATCCTAACCCTCATATGTTTTTGACATGTTACTGAGAGTCTGTTGAGTGTTTGTTTTATCTAAAAGGACACTCAAAATAATGTCACCTAACTTTTTCCAGCCATTGTACACAGAAATACCAATGCAGGTACACATTTTCCATTTAAATTTGAATTATGTCTTAAATAATTCACCCACCTAAAGTGATGGGAACTGCAAATATAATATGTATATATGTAAATAAATATATATATGTAAATACACTATTTAATCAGCCTTTTCACATTTGCATCTGAATTTGAAAAAAGTCCGGAATATGCTATACACTCAAAAAAGATGCTTCTTTATGGGTTCTCGAGTAAAGAAAATGGTTCTATAGAGAACCATGAACACTCAAAGAGCCTTTTGCATGATTAACCCTTGTGTGGTGTTCAGGTCTCTGGGACCCATTTTCATTGCCTTCACTCTTCACCCCACCCCCCAAATTCATATTACACATGTGGTGTTGGGGTGAACCCGTGGGGAATAAAAGTGTGGAGGTGCTTTCTTTGCATCGTGAAAGCGTTCTTAATAATGATGGAAAATGTATTTTATATAGTTCTATACAGAACCTTTTTGAAAAGGGCTCTATATAGCACCAACAAGGTTCTTCTATTGTTACAGCCTTCGCAATCATAACAATAAAATAACCTATGTGGGTGCTATATAGATCCCTTTTCAAAAAGGTTCTGTATAGAACTATATAAAATACATTGTCCATCATTATTAAGAACGCTTTCACGATGCAAAAAAAAAACTTTAATTATGCACATTATTATTTGAGTGTTTATAGCTCTATATAGAACCATTTTCTTTACTAAAGAACCCTTGAAGAACCATCTTTTTTAAGAGTGTACCTCGGTAGTTGCAAGGCATGTTTCACTGGAAGTATGAAAATTTCATACACTCCTGATTTATTCTGCCCTTGTGCCAGCCACCCCCCCCATTTCACATGGTATAATTTATTTTAGGACATTTCTCCAACGAAATGCTGACTGAACTGCCAAGTCTTCTCTAATGTAATACTCTGTCTGTGCACTTTGCAGATGGCGAACTCTCAGAAGCGTTATTTGGAGGCGGAGGTGAAGACAGGAAGGCAGGCCATGCAGAGTTTTGATCAGATGAACAGCTCTCTCATATCAGCCAACATCGACTTGCAGGTACAATATCAGCATCAGCAAATACCACCCAGCAATAATTACAATGCAATGAACATGCAGGACAAGACAGTATGAGACAGGCAGGAAGATAAACATATAAGAAAGAATAAGAATGTGAGCAGTGAATAGGAATACAGACCTGAATAGATTAACTGAGCAGACTATTTGTAATCTGTAACTGCAGGATAGCAAAGCGTAAGTGAAGTAGCCCATTACGGATTGAAAGGATCCGCACTGTGTTTGTAAGTGGGTGGGGTCCAAATAAATCATCTTTGTAATAGCTGACAGCAGCTTTATTTATAGTTACTTTAAATGTTGACACAAATGAGGAAAGTGAGAGTAGCAGGAGAGAAAGATTAACCAGTTTGGTGGGTTACATTTTATTCAGGAATCAATTGTTTTCAGCCACACAAAAGCTGTAGATGAGCATATTCTGCCTTGGTGGACCTTATTCACACAAACGTTTCTTTTTAAACCTTGTGTGGTGTTCAGGTCTGTGGGACCCATTTTCAGTGCTTACCAAAAGAAAAAAATGATGTGTTTCATTATTATTTCAACCTCAGATTCCCATTGTCTGTAAAGAACATATAAAATAACACATTTTCAGTGACTTCGTATTACACATGTGGTGTTGGGGCTGAACCTGTGGGGAATAAAAGTGTGGAGGTGCTGTGTCCTTCACTCTGTTCTCCTCCTACATGGCCTGCTGTTAGTGTGTGTGTGTGTATGTATGTGTGTGTGTGTGTGTGGGGGTGTGAGGGTGGACAACATGGACAGGCTGTTGACTGGCTACAGCTGCTAAAGGAGAACCCTACGCTGGCTACTTGTGATATTTTAAACATCTGGTATTTTTACATAAATTGTTATGGCTGTATTGATTTAAAAAACAATAATGTGGTGGGTCCAGCAGACCACTGAGTAACAAACACATCAACACCACACAAGGGCTAAATGTACCTGGGATCAGTATATTATGGCCTTAGTCATCCAATGTCAAACTGGTCAAATTATGTTTTGTTGATTTTCTAAAGGAATATAAGTTAACACATCCCCTACAGAGAACATACTTATGCACATTTTAATGCATAATTACTGGTTGTTTCCTGAATTTAACATATTGGACAATACAAAAGCAAAAGTTATGGCATATTTTATATATTTGTTCTAATATGATAAACTCTGCACTAAACCTTGCATTAAAATGTCGTATTTTAGTGTATTTTCTGTAGAGGATGTGTAAGCTTATTTTCTCTTCGAAAATCAAGAAGGTGTAGTTTCACTGGGGCGCACAAACTTTTGTACATGACTATAAAGGTAAAAATAGGCATCATAAGAAGCCTAAAAGTGATAGTTGGGTGTCTTAAGGTTGCTTCTTTCGCTCTGGAGTTACGAGGCTAATGTGCCTAACAGACAATGGAAGTTTACAGCCACCAGGTTAGCACTGTGCAAACTGTATGCCTACATCACCACACATTGGCCTCAAACTGCATAGAGGTGTCCAGTAATCTCAGATAGACTTGCTGTTATCTATAAAAATGGACTAACATACGTTTCTAAGTTTAGAAGTCTCTGCTCTGTCCTGAGTGTGTGTTTGCTTCCTGTGTTGTAGAAAGCCCTGTTGGAGAGCTGTAACGGTCGTGTGGGGAACAGGGAGGAGATGAGAGCTCTGCGTAGCTCCTTCGAGAAGACTGAAGAGAGACTGAGGGAACGTGAGAAGCAGCTAGCCGCTGCCCAGGCCGAAAACCAGGCGCTAAAACTACAGGTGTCCAGCACAACACATAAATACACACAGCTGTGCTCCATTCAACCCTAAAATTAACCCCAAAAAACCAAGAGATTATCTTTGGCCTCTTTTGCTTTAGCTAGTAAATGCAGCAGTTTCAGGGGAAAAAAGCTATTTTCGTCATGAGGAGCCAACAAATGTCCCTGCACCCTAGGCCTGTCCTGAGCATGATATTCTGGTGACCGATATATTGCCATATAAATAATTGTGATGAACAATTTAATTATCTTTTTTGCTTTGTGGGCAGCTGTTAAAGTACAAGCCTAAAGTGGCCAAATTGGCTGATTAGCTGTCCTGCCTTGTTGATACTAAGTAGTCGATACTTAGTGGCTCCCAACTGACAAGAGGCACAACTCAAGCTCAAATAAACAAACATTACTCACTGCTGCCCTCTAAAGGTGTTATTAACAGACATCAAATAAACCCAACTCTATAAGGACCAGTAGATACTGTGTTTATCTTTCAGATTGCAGTGTAATGTAAGGCGAGAACTGAGAATGGAAATTCGATTTTTAAAATTTGAGTGATCAGTTTTAAATGAGTAATCATTACAAATTTATTTCATAGAAGTGGTCATGCTGACCTTGGCAGATGTGTTTGTGTGTGCTGTGTGTGTGTGTGTGTGTGTGTGTGTAGGTGGCATCGTCTCAGGAGGCCAGTGCGCGAGCGATGAAGGAGATGAGTGCTAAACTGCAGCAACAGTATGAAGAACAGCTGCAGGAACAGCAGAGGAAACACAGGCAGGAGATTGAAGCTCTGCAGGTGCACATTTACACTGACTTAAGAACAGTGTCCCTATATGTTTGACTCAAAACAACCACATATAACTATATTTTCAAAAAATCATATCAATCACATCATGATTGTGTAGATGCTTTTTAAAAACTTCTTAACCCTTTAATGCTGGGGCAAAAACAGCTTTTTAAATCTTCCCTTTTAACATTGTGATTTATCAAAGCTTGCATTTATTTTCATATGCAAAAAAAATGGCATTTTGATGCAGAAACCATCAGTTTTGAGCAAGCAAACATATGAACAGAAATATTTTTCACATTTCAGGGTTTCTCTGATGAAACACATTAATAATAAGCATTTCCATAATGATGTGAATTGCATTCTGAATGTGTGTGGATGCTCTCTCAGAAACTATCACAGTGGATCCAACAATAAAGGCAGCTTTTGTTATACAGTGATAGAAAACACAGCAGCTCACAGATAGCAGCTCCAGTTCCACATGCTGATCCATTTTACTATGTCCAACGTGGGCATGCAGTCTCTAAATGCACCACTAATAAAATGATAGGTAAGACAGGGTTAACAGCTGCTCCTCCTAGTGGTATCATCCGAGAGAATTGAGACATCTGATACATTTTTGGAGGGAGGGAGTGTCAAAAAACCGCAAACTGAAAGTGAAGGTCGTTCTGAAACTGAGGGTTCCGGTTTTCTTCGCTTGGAGAAAACGAATACATATGAAGAACGAGACGAATGTGAACGCTGTCTGTTCTGACCGCTCCCAGGCCCAGCTGGAGGAGTACATGAGGCGACTGGAAGCGGCTGAGAGGAACGTGAAGCTGGCAGAGGAGAAAATTGCTGAGAGGGATCAGAGGATCAGCGAGGTGGAGCGACTGCTGGACTGCATGGCTCAGGTCAGTTCATACAGATTAAAGCTGGCCTCTACAGTAGAGCATCGTATGTGGGCTATAGTGAACATAGCAGGGCAGCACCCCTAAAGTCAGGATTGCTTAACTGCATAAAAAAATATACAAATTATAATAGAATTAAAGTCTCCAGTCAGGACAGAGTAACAGCAACTGCTGAAGATAATAATAAAATAAAAGAATTGTAAAATAAAATAAAGTAAATAAAACAATCATGTTTGTAGCACCCTCTACAGTAAGGACTGTTCAATTGCAACATCTGCTGCTAAAAATAATAATAAAATAAAATAAATTTAAAATAAAATATAGTAAATAAAACAATCATGACTGTAGCACCCTCAGCAGTCGGGACCGTTTAACTGCAACATCAGCTACTAAAAATAATAGAAAATGATAAATAAAAATGAAAGAGCTTTAAAATAAAGTATAATAAATTAAACAAATTATTCCAGACTCTAGCATCCTCAGCAGCCAGGGTTGTGTAACTGTTGAAATTTGTAATAAAACAAAATAGCTTAAAAATAAAGCATGATAAATTAAGCAAGTCACAACTGTAGTAGCTTCTATAGTCAAGATTGTTTAACTGTAATCTTAAAAAATAATGAAAGTAAAATTAAATCAGAACTTATGTACTTCAGAAAAATAAAGTATGATCAGTTAAAAGTAAAATAAATGGTGGGATGGAGTTTACATTATAGATATGTTTTACATATCTTTTCTGAATTTACATTATCACATTTATTGTTGCCATTTGTTGTCAATACAGGTAACTTGGCAGGTTACAATTTGTAGGCTACAAAAAACACATTAAAAAATCATCCAGTTAAATCATCCAGTATTCAGTCAAATAGATGAAAATGTTTTCTGTGAGTTTGATATGTCTCAGGGTATATCACATATGTACTGCTTAAGAGTTTATCACCCCTGGTTTGAACTGCCTTCCTGCATCCACTAGACCAGAAAAGACTTTTATTTTGCAGGAGAAGAGCCAGCTAACCCAGAAACTCTGTGACTGTGAAAAGCGCTTGCGCACTTTGGATGAAGTAGACTCAGGTGTTAAGAAAAGGTAAGAGGTTGCCTTCACTGGACACATAGTTCTGTAGTTTCTTGGAATCATTCTGTTGTTACTATTTCAAAATAAAAGTATCTGAATGCACCATGCTCATCTCTTGTGGCCACTGTTAGAATTGCTGGTGGTAAATATAATAGAACGGTTTTATCATGATCATGATGATGGAGGTGTTGTGTTCCAGGACTGAGCAGGTAGTCATACAGAAAGAGGCATCGGAGCTGAAAGAGAGAATAAAGCACCTGAATGACATGGTGTTCTGTCAGCAGAGGAAGGTTAAGGGTATGATAGAAGAGGTGAGACCTTATAGTCATTTTGGTATATCGAGAACAAATACGTATGCATTATAGTATATATAAAACAATGATTCAAGCGGGTGTCCTGCATGTACTGTAATATGCTGTTGACATATTCCAAAGGATATTTTCCAAAACATCAGCATATACAGTACTGTGCAGAGGTTTAAGGCACCTAAGCACACTTCAAATCATTTATCTGAATAAGGCCAAATCCCATTTCTTATTTTTACCCCTATCCCTTGTTTTCGAGTGTCTTCTTCCCCCTTGGAACTGAGTTACAAGGGGTAGTGGTTGAAATCTTCACTATGAAATGGGACCCTAAAATCAAGAAGAGCATTACTTCATTAACAGGCTACATTAACAGCTACTAGCGCTGCTCTGCCCACAGCTAATTCTTTGGTGATATGAAGCTGAAGGCAGATATTCACCAGCTTCTTTTTTGAATTTTCCTGTTCCACCTTAAATGTTGTAGTGGTTCTGACACCTGAGACGCCAGAATGTAACTGCTGCACCATTTAAGGTGGAATGGGAAATTTAGCCTGCTAGCTACTGAGACATCAGCAAACTACTAGTGATTTTTTACTCTAGTTATGAAGAAAAGAACCATAATACATTGAAATGGCATTAAACTAAGATGGTTATCATAATATTAACAGAGAAAATACTTTCTTTAGTTGCTTGTGCAGCCATCTTGCCAGTTTTTCTTTTTTCTCATAAAACTCCTCCATTTGGAGTGTGCCTCTGAAAAACCCCTACCCATAGGCGTGAACACGCAAAAATGAGGGGTAAGGGCAAAGTGGTAGGGGTGAGGGGTGAAATGGGATTAGGCCTTGTAAACAAACTCCATATAACATGAGAGTAAATGCAAATAAGCATTTTTTTTTTATTTTAAAAAGTAGCTATTTTTTTAGTTCGAAGAACAAGGTTTTGTTCCAGATCATGTGGATGTGTTAAATTCCTGCACCAGGACTCTTAACACAATGCAGTACTGATTAGCCATGTCAGATATTGGATGATAACTACAAATAACACTGCACTGCAATGAGAAGAGGTTTGAAAATAGTTAAGTGAACACAGACATACATAAAACCAGTACTTAATATATTATTGTTATTTGTGTTTATTTTAATGTGTTTTTCTGAGCAAATAAACACTTATCGACTAATTAAATATCTTTTTAAATTTTCTCTTTTGTCTAAAACGTTTAAACAGTACTGTATATATTGAATCTATTGCAGTTTCTCAATTACTACAGTATGCACTGACTGGCCACTTTATTAGAAACGTAGCTCCACCTTTTTGGTTTGGAGCTGGATTGGTTGGATATTTTTGGGTGGCGGTCCGCTCTCGAGGTAGCAGTGACACTGGCGTGTGTACCAGCACCACACACAATACCATGTCAGTGTCACTGCTTTGCCGACAGCCAACGGACCACCCAAATAATATCCTTTACGCATATCTGCTTATTTACCCTACAGCAGTTTAGCCCCACCCACTCACACTGAAGTTCTAAGGGGTGTTTCAGCCTGCGCTGCTTTTTGAATGAGGTGCAATGCAGGGCAGCCACTAAGAGCAGAGCTCATTTACTTATGTCCGCCTGTCTAATTCTAAAGGATAAAGAGAAGTTGGCAAATGATCATGTAAAAATGAATTATGACTGTTTTTGGTATAAAATCACACACATTTTATCAGTGGAAAGTCAAAGAAAATGTAAAATTTTTTTACAATATACTCTCTTATTTGCCATACATTACATTATTGAATTAGATTGTCATCCAGTTTGTTCAGTGGCTTTGATCTTTTCTTCATTTTCCTCAGGTGGAAACGCTGAGAGCTAGTGTGGCTCAGAAGGACATGTACATATCGGAGCTGCTAGACAGGATAGCAATTGTGGAGTGTGAGGTAAAAGCAGTGGGAAAGCTTGCAGGTTGTGCTTTTGACTGCCACTCGCCCTGAATCATCAAACCACACACAGAATGACTGGATGGAGAATCGTTCAACATTCCAACATTCTGGCTGCTATAAGCTGTTATTTCACATCCTTTTACTGCCATTTCACAACACTTCACTCTGAGAGAAGCATGCCAAGCAAAGATCATAGTTTTTATACTGTGAAGTTTGGTGGAATTAGAAAACATTTGCCAGACACTCTGTAGCTGGACAAAATGAGCAGTGGATTCATTTGGTGAAAGTGTTGATTAAACACTAACGAAGGGTTTTAACCCTCTTTTTGTCATGTTTTTTTTTTCTCACATTTCCCAAAATATCCCAAGAAGGTGTGAACAATATTTAAACAGTGGAACACGGATGGAGATGTTGTGCGTTATTACAGCTTTCATTCAGTTGCAGGCAGTCAGTACAACAGTCCTGCAAAATAAAGAAAACATAGTGGCAGTTCCTTAAGCAGTACCCGTTTGCGTTACGGAACCATAAAACAGTGCTATTGCCATGTTGCAATATCAGGTTCAGCTCAACTTTTTTAATATTTGTCAGATGAACCTGAATGTGGTTTTGTCCGAGTCCGTATGTTATGCATTTCACAGCACATCATCTTTGCTGGATTCTATTGTGCTCATTTCCAGCGGATTTCAATTTGTTTAGTTATTCCGTCCAAAAGCTTGTTTAGGGGCGACAACAGGTTTGAAATGTGTTGTATGTCTGTGGTCACATTCTTCTTCAGAATCTGACCAAATGGGCTGCAGGTTAAATTTTATCTTACAGAAGTTATTTGATGTCTCCATTTTCTGGTTTTGCATGTGCTAAAGTAGAAACTTGGTAACGTTCATGTTTGATCTCAAAACTTTGTGCGCCGTTTTGCTATGGTTTCTGACAAGTTTCATCGAAATGGTGGAAAATGTGCAGCGGGCTTTGAAGTATGTTTTCTCTCATTTGATAAGCGTGTCAGAGGTGTTACCCAATCAGCAGTGACGCCGTATTAAAACACACTGCACACAATGGGTTCTGATAAAGTTCTCTATAAATGTGGTCGCTGCAGCTTGGTGTACACAACAGTTGAATACATTAGAAGTCGTATTTTGAAGTGTAAAACACGTATTTACTCATGTTATCAGCCTCCGAAAATTCTTTGAAAAGAACAAGAATGGCCTTCTCAGCTGCCATAGTTGCAGCGCTTGCGTAACAGAGTGATCACCACATCACCATTTTTGTTTAAATAAACGTTTTGCTACGTTTTGTCGGGGCTGAACGCAGCTCAGGTCTTAGCAACTGGTGCTCAGCAGAACAATGGTTATTTTGAATAAATAACAGCTCAGGAAGAACGCTTCTCAACCAATCGGATTGTGTCGTCGGAACTGACTCTTGTACGGGAAGTTATTTTTTTTTCGTATTCTTCATAAATTACGTTACAAGAGGCTTTTCTAAGCGTATAAAGAAACATTACCCAAGTGCATGTTTCATTACTAACAGAGTATAAGTAGTTCTGTTTAACTAGATTTAGTTCAGTTTATTATGTAAAATGTTTAACAAAATCCTTGTATTAATAGTTTTTAAGCATTTTAATGTGGCAAAGTTGTCTGTTCCAACTTATCAAACTAAAGACCGTGATGTATATCGTTTATCGTGAAAATGTCTTGAAGTATCGTTACGTTCTGTTTTTGCCTTATCAAAACACATGACCACCAATTCACTGCCAGCCCGTTCTTCGTACAGAGTGATGGGCTAATGTCTTCAAACCAACTTCACAGCAAAGAACTACAGTATGCATTTGGCATGAATATGCTTTTACACTGAAAAGAAGTGCTGCTTTGACATTTGCTTTGATTCAAATGCTTCAATACATCAGTTTCAAATCAATATGACATCAACACACTTATTGCTGAAAGTCAAATGAAAATGACAGGCAGTAAAGGGTGTTGATGCGATGTATTTCATTCATGAGGAAGTGCACATTTGAATCAGCTGAATTCAAAGCAACAGATTCTCAGTGTAGGGACAAGATGGTTGAGCTTGTCTGACTGCTTGTCTCTAATGGTGTGGAATCTGTCCTCTGATCTGATTCTGTGCTGTGATCTGCTCCTTCTCCTAGAATAATGAGTTAGAAGACAAGCTGAAGTATTTTATGTCTGTACAGAACGCAACCGTGAATAAACCCCTCACCAGAGAGATTGGAGTTGGCTGCGACTTGCCCATAAGGTAATTAACGTCGGATCAACTTCTACAACCATTAGAAATTGACCTGTCCATCCTCCGCCCACACACAAATGTATGCAAAAGTCTGAACACCCCTGGTGAAATTACGTTTTGTTGATTTTTTAAGTGAAAATAAATTGTTTTCTACAGAGAACACGCTTAAATGTGGTGTTTTTCAGCAAATTTTAGTGCCGAATTTCTGTTTATTTGCTGAGATTAACACTTTATTTTTAAAATGCAGCAAAATAATTGTGCATTAAAATGTGCGGAAGAGTGTTGTTCTCTTTTTTGTGTTATTGTGCTATAAACTTATTTTCACTTAAAAACTCAACGAAAATCAACAACGTAATCTGGGGTGTTCATATTTTTGCATAAATCTGTATGCATTCTTTTGTATCTACTGTTGCAAGACTGAATGAGTTTTACAGAACAGTCCATTTCAGCCTGAGGAGATGCAGCACGCAACAAGGTCTTTGTCAAAGTGCCTACATTGTAAGGCCATTATTAAATTCAAATTACGTGGGTCATTTGGACTGGGAATTCAGGTGGATACATTTTTAAAAAATCAATTTCTTTTATCCCAAAAATAAATAATCTTAGTATGTCCATTAACATCTCTTATCATCATATATGTAAAAAGAGAGCTTAATTCCAAACATATTTCACAGCCACTGGTGTTATATGAATATGGTGTAACACCAGTGACGGTGACTCCAGTGACATTCTGATTACAACTTAGGATTTTTAGGAAATCACTAATAAAATGATACGTGCCATTATTTTGACCAAATTTTAATTACCCAGCCATTAAAGCGCATAACACCAGTGACACATAGAAGTTATGTGCTGCCTGATAAACAGAATTATTAACAAATTAATGAAATGTAGTGAGCGAGTGTGACTCGCATTCTCATGCCTTGAGATGCTTCCTCTCTGATGAGCCTCGACTCAAAGAAGCAGTGTAATAGAGCTGAAAATACTGTGTTCATGTACAATATGAGTCCTGATAGCACCAGTGACCAAAGTCTCTGTGACAAATTAATTTTTAAATAAAATGCATATTTTACAATGTACTATAACATTAAAGTATATATGAATTTGTTTTATACAAATTCCAAAGTTAAACCTTTTAAAATATTGTTTTGTGTTAAAAATGGTTTCTCAAATGTTGAAAATTGGTTTTGTGATGAGCTGTTTTACAGATGCAGAGCGACTATGAAACAGGATAGAAATGGAAAATCTGAGAAATTATAAGGGAAAAGTTATTTAATCTTAGGTCAACTGTGTAAATGTACATACTAACTTTTGGCACTGTGTCAAATATTTCAAGCATCTTTTTAAGCCCTGCAACCTTTGTGACACGGTGTCCCACTACAAATTTAGTATGACCCACATACACCGATCAGGCATAACATTAAGACCACCTCCTTGTTTCTACACTCATTGTCCATTTTATCAGCTCCACTTACTATATAGGTGCACTTTGTAGTTCTACAGTTACAGACTGTAGTCCATCTGTTTCTCTGCATACTTTGTTAGCCCCCTTTTACCCTGTTCTTCAGTGGTCAGGACCCCCATGGACCCTCACAGAGCAGGTACTATTTGGGTGGTGGGTCATTCTCAGCACTGCAGTAACACTGATGTGGTGGTGGTGTGTTAGTGTGTGTTGCGCTGGTCTGATCGGATCAGACACAGCAGTGCTGGACTACAGTCTGTAACTGTAGAACTACAAAGTGCACCTATGTAGTAAGTGGAGTTGATAAAATGGACAATGAGCGTAGAAACAAGGAGGTGATCATTATGTCATGCCTGGTCGGTGTATGTACCTTTTCAGAACGGTTCTACATCGAACCATCTACGGCACATTCTCCATCAATCTGAAGAATCCTTTCATGATGCAAAGAACCCTTTAATCAAGAGTGTTAATGGTTCTATATAGATCCACTTTCTTTACTAAAGAGCCCATAAAAAACTATCTTCAAGTGTGTAGTCACTCAGCAGCTGCACAGGAATCTTTCACGGCCTCTTTTTCTTCACAGCCGACCTGACACTCAGGTCTATGAGACTCCAGTCCAGACCAGGTCAGCTCCATCAGCTCCATCGGCACCAAGACCTCCGAGCAGACTGGACTACAGTTTACTCCGGTACACGCCTCTGCAGTACAGCAGCATGCTCTCGTCAATCACACGGGACACTGCAACAAGTCCTTTGGAAACCACAGCATATTCCAATCCAGTTCAACCTCATAATGAAGAAGCAACATTGCCAACATCCTCAGACTCTGAACTGTCGTCCTCCAGCAGTAACCAAGCCAGATCAAGCCCATCCAGAATCTACACACCTTTTATGAAGCTCATGGAGATTACAGCTAACATAAAGGTGGATTGAAGTGAAGTACATGAAGTGAATGATGTGATGCTCTGAATTGGAAAGTATGAACTATTTGTATTTCCTATTCATTTTGTAACATATAAATTATCTCCTGATCTGTGAATAACTTATTTTATTATTTTAATAGCATGTGTTGTTGCACTTTTTCCCTCTTTGTTTACAAAAATATATGATAGAGTTTTATGGTATGGAAAGTCCTCTGTATTTTACAGTTACAGGATATTTTTATTTGTTTTTTTTTTCTTTATAATTTTTTGGCTCGCTTTGAATCACTTTCATACTTAAATATAATTTTGTGTGTCAATTTTCACATTGTACACATTTCACATTTCATGCTTAATACTTTCCCTGTCAAACAAAAGTGACTACACTGGGTCTAATACAACACTAAAACAGTGGATGGTGGATGTAAGATGGATTAAAGGGGAATTCCACTGATTTTTTAAAATTTCAGCCTAATGAAGTTGTTAAGATATTAACAAAGTCATGCTGTAGTTTGCTGTGAAGTGTGCCATTCTAGATAGATTTACAGATGCAGAATTGTTCACAGTGGTGGTGATAGGAACCAAATGTTCGAAGCATGAATGTCTCTAAAAGCTCCCACATATAAAGTTATTACATATAATGGTTTTGAATACACTGCCTGGTGCGTGAGAGATTGTTTTGAGAAGCTTTTGGCCTAAAACATATATTTTTTAAAGCCATTCATGGTGGACAGGTACGTACACTGTGTTGTACGGCAAAATAAGCCCCCAAAAAATATATATTTTTTTTTAGATTTATCACTATTTTACATCATCAACATTACAAATAAAAACTCAGAAGACACGTAAAGTGGCTGTATTTGTGTTGCAGACATTGAGACCCCTGGTTCCTATCAGCTCCACTGTTAAAAGTCTTCTCAGTGCACCATTTTCACATCAGACCACTCTCAATGACTTTGTATCTCAATGTCAATGTTTTTTAATTGTTGGAGTTCTTCTTTAATAAAAGTGTGCCATCAATTCATTTTCACTGCCAGAAGTAAACAGAGAGAGACTAAATCCCTCGATGTTGCCACTGTAAGTGTGTATTTGTGAGGGTAGTCCTATAATAAAGAGATCATCAGCACAACACCGAGAGCTTCTGACCTGCTGTCACTGAAAACATCTGACAAGAATCTTCTAGAAGACATGAAAAGCCACTACAGCACTACAGCGCCATCTTGAGGAAAACGAGCAGAGTTTACAAATCAGAGCTCTGAAAGCAGCAGCAGACATATATTTATCTCAAATCACTTTGTGTTATGTTTTTGTTCTTTTATATACGACAAATAACTCATACAATGTGTATTTGAATATTACAACAACACACCATTGTATTTTTATAAGTTTAATTAAATATTTTAAGAATTCTGTCAACAAGAAGTGAATATTTTAATATACTAGCAATTTTTTGTGAAGTTATCTGCCTTGAACGTCTCTTCACTGTTATTTATAGCCCTTGTTTCCTACTAATTATTTGAGAGCTGTGAAATTGATCAGGACCAGCACCATAAAATCATTTTACACATTTATCTGCAAACAGACTAGTTTTATGATATTAAACTGTTGTTTTAAATGTTTGGTAGTAACGCCAGCGTGCCAAACATTGTGACACGTGATTAAAAAAAAATCACAGGTGTCACAGTGAAGTATGTGGACATTCTGTGATATTCTATGGGACGAGAAGAAACTCGTGTATTTTAGGGCTTTACATGTTTACTTATTTTCCCTGTAATGTTCTGAGAATGAAAACTGTACGTTAGAATATTCTAGAAGATATTAACATGAACGACTGATTAGTCTTGGACTGACTAGATTTTTCCTGCTAATATTCCACTTTAATGTCGTAATTCTACGATATTATTTTCGAAATATTACGACCTTATTCTCGCAATATTACGATTTTATTCTAAAAAAATAAGACTTTATTCTCGAAATATTAGGACTTTATTCTTGAAATATTCGGACTTTTTTTCTCGAAATATTACGATTTTAAAACAGGGACTTTATTCTTGAAGTCTATTCTTTAACACTGGCCGCATACAGCAGCATAAAACGTGATAACTGTATCTTAACGGTACAAAGTAAGGTTTATTTTAAATGCGTACATACACAGTGAAACGTCCTCAGAGCGAGAGAAGGCGGGTCGTATTTTTGGTGTGGGACTTTTATTCTGAAAATGCTCCCCTTATTCGCAGACTTCACCACAGCGGTTTGAATCGGTCACCGTGCCGTGTGGCTCGCGGTGTCTGAGCTGTTTACTGTTCTGGGCAGTATGTCGGGACCTTCAGAGCTGCGACATGAAGAAGGTCGCTGTTAAAGTGTTTAACCCACCGCTTTGTCCGCTGAAGGTTGCGCTTCTGTAGCCGCAGGGAGAGAGATGTCCTCCTGGTGGACGGAGCGCCAGGGCCTGGTGGGTGATGTAGGCGGGAGGAGCAGAGAGGAGCTGCGGGAGATCCTGACCAGGCAGGAGAAGTTACTGCACAACAAGTAAGCGCTTTAGTTCGGAGCCCCTGAGGTGACACGGTGGTTATTTTTTAATAAGTCGTGGCCGCGAATTACTCAAATACCACAAAATAATAGGTTGAGGCAAGTTTCTCATAACTCGTGGCCTCAGTATAGTAATTCGTGGCGTCAATATGGTAAAATATGACCTCAATATATTAAATTGTGGCTTCAGTATAGTAATTTGTGGCCTTAATCTAGTAACATATGGTCTCAATATGGTAAATTATGGCTTGAGTACATTAAATTGTGGCCTTAGTATAGTAACTAATGGCTTCAGTAAGCCATAGCTTGAATATAGTAAAATGTGACCTCAGTATATTAAATTGTAGCCTTAATATAGTTAATTGTGGCCTCATTATAGTAATTTGTGGCCTCAATATAGTAACTAATGGCTTCAGTGTCGTAATTTATAGCTTGAATATAGTAAAATGTGACCTCAGTATATTAAATTGTGGCTTCAATATGTTAAATTGTGGCCTTAATATAGTTAATTGTGGTCTCAGTATAATAATTTGGGGCATCAATGTAGCAATTCATGGCCTCAGTATATTAATTTGTAACAGCAATGTAGTACAATGTAATTTAAGTCTATTAAATTGTGTCTTCAGTACATTAAACTATGGCCTTACTATAGTTAATTGTGGCCTCAATATAGTAATCAGGGCCTCAATATTAACACATCGTCTCAATATATTAATTTGTTGCCTCCATATATTAATTAGACTTCTTTTCTCATACAGGAATGTGTGGCTTTGCCGTAGCTGCCTTGAAAACTTTGACAACCTCCTGTCAAGTAAACTTGACGGGGCTGCAGGTTGAAATGATCCGATAATACTGATAATCTTTATCGCAGTATTGACCGGTACAGTGTTGATATCGATTTCCGATATGCAAACAAACCTCTAACAAGACATTGTTTTAATGAATCAAGGCTTTCACATGATCCCGCAGGTTGCTGTAGGTCATAGATCTGTTTTTTGGTCAAAATAATGCTATGGGTGATGAGTATTTTTTAGTATTTTATTTTCCCCTCGAGATCCTTTTTATAACGTTTGTGTCATTTTATGTATCAAAAACAGTCATAATTCATTTTTACTTGACCATTTTTGTTTCTGTGCCTTTTGTTACGCAATAAATAATCTCCGCTCTGATTGGCTACGCTGAATTGTGCTTCGTTCATAAAGCAGTCCATCTGATTCTGAAACACTGCTTCTAGCTTCAGCATAAATGGGCGGAGCTAAACTGCTGGAGGCTGAATGGGTGGAAATATGTAAATGAGTTGGTTCTTGATCACATAAACAGTTCAAACCAGGTTGTTTTGTAGCTTTTTTTTTCATTTGTCGACTGTATGGATTGAGGAGTGAAAGGTACGTTTTGAAACTTTTACAGTGTTTATGTACCACATCAAGCTATTTTAGTGCAAATAAGTGAGGAAAATTTGTTTTTTCATGGTATGGGCCCTTTAAGAGTATCTCAGGCAGTGTGCACTGTAATTACTGAATAATTAGCCTTAGGAATGAGGTATTCAAACTGCAGGGGGTTGTAGGTAAATTTGAAAAAAATCAAATATATTGCTGCTGTCGGAAAAAAACCCTTTTATCACCATTTTTGTCATTTTTCAGTTTGTGACATAATTTGAAAGTGGCTGTTGTCCTTTACATTGTATTTTTTCCTGATGAATGGACCAAAAGAAATGACCCAAAATTATGTGGAAAAAATTCTGGTTCCTTTGACTTACATTAAAAGTAAAGTGTGTTTTTTCCTTTTTCTGTAAAGTTACCATTTTGGGGATGCAAGGTTTTTTTCCGACAATAGCGATAGATAACCGTGTCATTAGACTAATTTTTATTTTTGTAAGCTGGAGTTTCCTTATTGTTCAAAATCTAACTTAGTCATGTTGGCTTACTTTATGCAGTCAGTAATGGTCAACATGACACATGTCAACAAGTCAGTTAACCACCTGGACTGCCTTATTTCCAAAATGACCACAAAATCAACTTCATTAGACAAAGAAAGTCAAAACAAATGGGGAAAAAAGATAATATGATGAATATTTGAAACGGATTTGCATCCATTGAAGTTTGTGGTCTTATCTGTGCAGAAACTTTACAGAAACTCTAGTCAACAACAGCTTGAAACCAGCAAAACTGAAATGACATCTAGACACAAAACGTGGTCGTTTCTCATGAAAAAGCACATACTTTTTCCTCATGGAAATTGAGTGAATATAATTGTGACAAGCTCCTCTGAAAACGTCATATAAGGCAGCGTGCCAGTGTACTGGACTGGTATTTGGGTTTCTTATGGGCTAATGGATGGGCAGTGCATGTGTTATGATCATATATGCAACATAGAGGAGACATAACCACAGATGGATGACTTGGTCTGTTTTGTTTTTTTCCAAATACGTTGCAGTAGTTTGCATTTGTTGGAGGGGGGTTGGGGGGATGTAATAAGCCTGGGAATTTAAGAAGATAACATAATATAATGTGGCCACTGCCTCGTAATACCTCCTCTTTAAGCGACAGTCAGAACTCATTAGATGTCGACAGTGCCCTGGGTAAAAATGTCACAGAATACATGTCACCTTTATTTTATTTATTTAGTGTTGCTTTTCAAGATTGTGTTGTGTCTACAGGAGGTTCATTCAAAGCCTGCCTGATAAGGGGAAGAAGATTTCTGACTTTGTGGAGAAAATACGCCAGGCACTTGTAGACTTGGAAGAAGAGGAGAAGAGGCGAGCCAGTTTGTCTGCTATTGGAACCGAATTTCAGGCCAGATACCAGCAGGCTTTTGCCCAGCGCAGGCATGTGGACTCCAACACTTTGGAGAGAGAAACTCTTAATAAGGATGGAGACTCACCATTGGCTACTAACAGCAGTGTGGATGCTCAACAGGACGCTGAGTCCCTCACAGATAAAAGCACTGAGACGATGGAGGCCTCCTCTGGAGACAGCGCAAAAGACACTGACCTTGTGGGGGCGCTTGAGCGGGTGACTCTTTCAGAGGGAAAGGCTGGGCCAGTCAAAGACATTGTTAAAAACTCTCCTCCTAGAAACCCCTTCACGGCCACACAGTCTCAGAAGAAACCACATTACATAGAAGTTCTGGAGAGATCAGACAGCAGTGTGAGAACAAACAGATTTAAGCCCAATCAGTGAGTAAAGACTTCTATATAATGCATACGAGCCTTTTTACACTCACTATGCTGATCCTCTACCGCCAGTGTTCAGGCTTTGCATCATTTACACTTGCAGCCCTTTAATGGCTTTTTACTGCACACATGAACAATTGCTATGAAAATAAGTGTTATCTAGGCTTGTCACAGTTATTACATAATCGTCTAATCATAATAATTTGAGATGATCTCATTTATTTAAGCTGACCGCAAACATTTTCCACAGTCGTTAGATTTCACAATCATATTATGCCACAATAGGCAGAAAGTTCAGTGGGTGTGTTTGGTTGAGATAAATAAATACAAATAAAAGAAAGCATTCATTGAGACACATCATGGAATTAATGAAAACTAACTTGGTGCTCTAACATGTTTATAGGGAAACACAAGCAGATTTTGTTTATTTGTTAGCTATATAGCTAATTCTAATGTTTTAGCAGATGAGTGTTTATTTTTTTATTAAATCTAAAAAAAAATGCAGCTTTTTCTCCATACATCACATGTGTCAGGCTCCAGGCCTTGTGGGTCAAAACACTGCAGACTTCAGCTCACTGCCTCATAAAACACACCTGATTCAGCTAATTAACAAGGCCTTCATGAGCTGAGTTCAGAGCGTTAGATGAAGGTAAACGCTAATGTCCACAGCATTTTGGCCCAGAAAGTCCCTAGTTTAACTGTAGACATTTGATTGAGTACACGTAGCTAAAGATGGCTAGTTCATTCAACCACTTCAAGCTTGTACTTCAGTAGTTGCATACAATTAATTCCTTAATCACACTTATTCATATGACAGTTAATTTCATTAACATGACAGCCCTAGTGACATCCTCAGCATAAATGACTAACAGCTGTTTGATTTCTGAATCATGTTCAAAGTACACTCCAGCAACAATTTGCTTGTGTGAAAACTGTAAACTAGGGCTACATTTACATTACAAGCCTCATTGCTCAGATCCGATCTCTCTGACATGATGGTTCACACTCGTTTAGGTAAGTGATTCAGATCTGTCATTAATATGAACGAACCGGCGTCCTGAAATGACCCTCATGAACACATCCTACTCAGTAACGTCACGTGAATGAATCACGTAAATCATCAGCACAAACTAACGAGCAGAACGAGCTTCGCTGTGAAGATAATTAACTGATCAGCTCTCAGCTGTTTATATTAGAGCGAGACGAAGGTGAAAAAGGTGAGGTGTTGCTTTTCCGCCGTTTATAGACTTTAACTTCTGCTCGGCGCTGCTGCCATGGTAACGTTGAATGATGGCGCACACGCAGTGGATAAAAAGCACATGAATTCAGATCTGAGCGTCACATTAAGGCAGCATGGCCACAAATCGGATACGTATCCAATCTAGGACCGCATTTGCAAGTGGGTCAGGTCGGATTTGAAAAGATCAGATTTGCGTGTCCACACAGCCCTGAAAACATCAGATCTGAGTCACATTAGGGCAAAAAATCGGATTTGTGCCACTTCAACCTGGTACTGTGAACGTAGATTAAAAAATAGCACTTAAGTGTTCTGCTGGGCATGCTGCATTGCTGTTGCACAGTAGCAGCCATGCGCGCACATGGGGCGATAGGGAAGTGAGGTATTGCACATATTACACATACTAGACAAGTACAGCAGAAAACAAGTAGCAGTAAATAAAGAAATGGCACCAAACAGTACAGGTGACTGGCAATAAGGATGTAGATGTCAGTAATAACATTGCACTGTGAATATACAGTATATACAGTGTAGCAAGGTGTAGTATTATGTGCAGAATGACACAGTGAGACCATATATGGGTTAATATGTGTCCAGTGCAAAATGAATATGTTTTCCCACAGTACATTACAGTACATTTTATCTCTTTCAGACTGCCAGAGAAGTCTGGCTCTTCCTCGCCTAGTCAGTCCTCTGGCAGTACAACCCCACTCTCTGCTGAGGCTCGGAGACAGAGGGACAGGAAGCACCTGGATGACATCACTGCCGCCAAACTTCCCCCACTGCACCACAGCCCAGCCCAGCTTCTCTCCCTGGAGGAGTCAGTCGCCCTCCAGCGAGAGCAGACGAGAAAACAGCAGGTAGGGCAAAGCCATAGATGTGGGGCTCAGCGATTCGGGGAAAATATCTAAATGCACTTTTTCTGACCAATATTGTGATTGTGATGTAAATGTGTGTGATTATTTTCTATATTTTTTTTTTTTTTGCCAAGAAGACCAGCACTTCACTGTTACAGGGTGGAATGCTGTGTGTGGCATTTGGTTGTTTCTAATCAGTCTAACTCGTCCGCAGGCAGTTCACAAGCTCCATGTTATTAGATTAGATTTCCCCTCTCGTTAAGACTTATTAAGACAGCTTTGTTGATAATACAGACTAACTTTACAATAGCAGCTCTTGCGATTTGAAAATTGCACTCCTTTTAAATGCACTTTCGATATGAAAAGATTTTTCGGCCCTGCAGCCCTTGATGCATTTTACATATGCAAAGGCAAGACTAAACCATAGAGGTATTACTAGAAATGTGTAAGAGTACTTGACTGCTCTGTTCTAAGTGCCAGTATTCAAATATTGAAATTGCTATTTGGGGGCTCTTATTTTAGCAATTTTGTGTTTTATTATGACAGTGCAATGTGACAGTTTGTGTGGGTGTTTATATATACACACAGTATGCAAAAGTTTGGTTACTCTTGACTGAGCAGGCAGAGATAGTGCAGCTGGCTCTGCCATGGCTATTTCACTGACTAGGCTAACTACTCTAGAACCACTCTTAATATATTTCTCTGACAAACTAACATCCTGACACATCACCAACTGAGGAGAAAGGCCCAGTCCCATTTCTTTATTTTTTACTCCTTGTTTTCGAGTGTCGTTTTGCCCCTTGGAGCTGAGTTACAAGTGGAAGTGGTTGAAACCTTTCCCTATAAAATGGGATAAACCCTCAAATAAAAAAGAACATGACTTCATTAACAGCTACTAGCAGCTCTCTGTAGGCGACCCTGCCAGTCTGCAGTGATTCGCTGCTGGGCTTTAGTTAAATGTAGGGCAGCGTATGCCTTCAAAGAGGGGGATACGACAGCTATTTATTATCGCCCACCCCTAATTCTTTGGTGATATGAAGCTGAAGTCAGATATTCACCAGCTTCTTGTTTGAATTTTCCCGTTCCACCTTAAATGGTGCAGCAGTTCTGAAGGCTGAGGCACTTGAATGTAACACTGTTTAAGGTGGAACGGGAAATTTAGCTAGCTAGCTACCAAAACATCAGCATAATACACTCCACTTGGAGGGCCATGTAGCCCTAACACTTCGCACTACCCCTCTATCTCAACAGAAATTTGGGACACCCTACCTCCTAGACATGAGCATGCAAAATTAAGTGATGAGGGCTAAGTGATAAGGGCGAGGGGTGAAATGGGATTGGGCCAAAATACCTCATGAAGGTGATGATGAGTCCTCCAACATTGTACTGGTTAGTTCCTCATCAGCTCGTTGTTGTGGCTGCCTCATCAAACATGAAAAACTGATGTTTCTTGGCTGTTTAGGAATGATAAGTTTTAACACCAGTGCCACCATCTAAAAAGTATGCCTACAGCCCTACACTAATTTTGGCCAAGTTCTGTTTTTATTTATCCTTATTTATCCTTGTTGTTGCTTTTTCCTTTTGTATAGCCCTTCATTAACTCTTGTCGACACTAATATATCAAAACTAGTTGGTATGCCCATCCCTAATTAATATTATGTATAATAGCACTGTATCACTGTACCAAGTGTTGGGCTGTAGAATAACCCATGGCCTATAAACTGTACATGAAACCATCACATACATGATATTCATGTAGCTGCATATAAAGTTGTACCTGCTCTCCTCTAAACTCTCTTGACAATTTCTTGTCAAACTAATTTTCAGCATGTATTTACTGTGTAGGGACATTTTAATGTGACAAGTTTATTATGTAGGTTTCCAGGCTCTAGAATATGTGTTTTCCTCTGTTTTTCAGGAGTTGCAGGCGAGGCTGGCTGCCCAGAAGCTGGCAGAGGGTCTGACTGTCACTATGAGCAGCTATAATCCTGAGGGTGGTGCTCTGGCTGCCTACAGAGAAGTACGTGATGATGGAGCCCTCTCAGATGACGACTGATTCATGGTCTTGACACTTTCTGGCATGAATAGCAGTGGTTCCAGACTGGTGTTCTGCTCTGGGCACCTCTCTCTGCCTGTAAAGGTGACTTTCAGCTCTGGAGCTAACTGGAGAGGAGCTCATTTGGACCTGAATGCATAGCATGTACTACTTTTAATAGAGTCTTCTGCTCAGGTGTCTTTTTAAATTGAATTACAGTGAGGTTCATTCTGTCCACTTAAGAACGCGTCAGTGGTTTTGATGCTGATAGACCTACAGTCTGACAGCATCTGGAATATCTTGGTGACTGCTGATGATCAGTGAAATCCAGTTTAGCTGTAATATTGAGTGCTCTTAAAGGAATACCTCAGCATTTTTCAATGTAATGTCTATCTGCTTATGCAGTCAGTCACTACCGTCAATAATATTAATGCATTTATTTATTGTACTTAAAAAAGCAGGGAAAATCTGTTGATTCAAAACACATATAATAGAAGCCAGTGGGCAGTTGCTACAGCACTTGCCCATTATGTGCTATAAGTGTGCTTTGAAAAATGCTGCAGTGTTCCTTTAATACTTTGCATATTCCTTTAAATACTTAACGTAAAGTACTAGAACAGGTGAGTGTGTTTACGTGCACTTAATAATCCGATCATAATCAAATTTCTGCAGTTATCTGATTATTCAAATGGTCGTGTAAACAGCACATTTTAGATTGGAGTAAGGTCTAGAAATCCGATAAAGAGAGCTGGATTTTTAGCCTATAATCAGATTTCTCAGCGCAGGTAACCTCTTACTCTGATTTCTTTCGTTTTCTCAGTCTGTGCATGTGCGAAAACAGACTGCGTTACCGGAAATAAGCGAGCAGCGCTGCCACAAGATGGCAGCAAAACACTTTTGGAGCGATGCTGAAATCAACTAAATGCTTGATGAAACAAAGGATTTAAATACTCTTCATCTTCTAGATGATGTATATTCATGTTTTCAGGTAAAGTGGGTAAATATTGTAAAAAATACCTGATTTTCTGTGGTGATCAGATTATTAAGTGCATGTAAACGCACTGAGTAATTCCCATTCACAGTCCTGCGCTGTGCACTGATTTGTTTGTGTTTCCTCTGCTCAGACCCCCCAAATTAAACTCCTCCAGAGATTATTAAACCCTTCATGAGCTGCATCAGGTTCTGCACATGTACAACACAAAGCGCTGTAGACTGGGACTGAGAACCGTGTCTCCGTTTTAGAGATATGGAAACATGCGATAAAACAAATTTGTATTTTTGTAAAAACCTTTTGCAGCATTGTAGTCAAAATAAATAATATTGACATCTTAAGTGATCTGACCTGTTCATTTTACCATCGGTTTGAAACAACACAGCTTAATGTTATGCCATATGAGAGCAACAACAGCTTGAGAGAAGTTCCATTTTTTTGTGGAATTGTTTAGTTAACCCCCCCCCGGTTTGATTAGAGCCGTGAGTCAGCCATCTTTGAAGCGCGTGATGTTATCAGTGCAGAAATCTGTGACATGCCTTCGGTGATTAATATATGCAGTGTGAAATACTGGAGCTTGAAAGAATTGGCCCAATTACTGGATTACATCTGGACCGCATTTAGGTCATGTTACCGCGCAGTGTGGTAATGCATGATGGGATGGCAGCGGCAGCAGACAGACATGACATACGGCAAATGCAATTCCCGCTCTTAACGTGCAGATAAGAAACGCCAACAGCCGCAGAATCCTCGGCCTTCCATTCGCACTAAATCTCTCCAAACTGTCTGTAAATGTCAGAGGAGCGTTTCTTTAAAGAGGGTTCAGGAATCTTAATTAGGACTCAGGGAGAGGAGTTTGTCTGAAGTTTGCTTCTTTAGTTTTTCACTGAAGCTATGAGGCTAATGTAGCTAACAAATAATGGAAACCAATAGCTGCCAGTTAGTTTGTGCAAAACTGCATGTTTAAATCACCACACGCAAAGTTATCTCTAATGGACTTGTTTAAGTGGTTTCTTACACCGCATGATATACTGTTATCTACATACAAGAACAAAAAAAGACCAAATTAAGCAGGCCTAGCAAAAATAATTTGAAAACTTGAGGATTCATTTTTTACTTTGTTATTTGGTTATCTATTTATTATTCAGTAACTTTTTTCATGCTTTAAATGAGGCACCTGAAGCTCAAAGATCATTGATGACTAAGAAGTCATGATATTATTTTTAATTTAATTATCAGATGACAAGAAAAATGTTCCGTGCAAAATGAGTCATGAGAGGCTGGTAAACCGTGGAGCTATGACAAGTTTGATGAATCATCACAAATATGTAACTTAGCGGTACCACTAGGCCAGGGGTCGGCACTCCAAATGTTAAGAAGAGCCATTTTGTCCTTGCAGCAAAAATCAAAACACTTCGGGAGCCACATTTTATGTCCGTTTTACTATCTTGGCTGTAAATATGTCTCATTATGAGCTAGTGTGTTAGTATAGACTAACAATTGTAATATAAACGAAATTCCAGTCTTACTCTGCTCTGCTTTAAGCTTTAGCTCAGCTATAGCTGCTTTTCTCGCATCTCCAGCAGGAAATTCCAAAAGTGGGTTAGTTTCTTGTAAAATGTCTCTCAATGTTTGATTTTTTACGAGGCTAAAGTCGCATCTCATTCACCAGCTTCTCGTTTGAATTTTCCTGTTACACCTTGAATGGTGCCTGCAGAGAAGCTGGCGAACAAGAAACTGACTTCAGCTTTGTGACTTTTTAGTGTTCGACAGTTTCTCGTTTCAGATGTATCAGGAAACCAGCTGGAGTGATTATAATTGCAAGCAAGTGCATTCATCTCCAAATTATCCCTGTTCTTAAATCTTTCTCTTTGCCGCTTTGTTCTGTGTTGCTATGGTTACTAGCAGTCTGCCAACCTTCAGGGTTAAAGGGTGAATTAGCAGATCTACATTAATTCCAGCATTTAAGACCATTTATTGTTAAAACTGTGTTGAACGATCAGCAGAGCTTTATTTTACTGCAAAGGAGGATTATTTTATTTTTACCTAATAATCTAATTCTGCTGTGGAGCCACAACAGGGCAGTAAAAGAGCCGCATGTTGCTGACCTCTGGTGTAGGCTCTAGTTAGGGCGATGCTAAAACCTGGATGAGGATTGACTGAGCTCATCTAAATAAGTGTCCTGTGATCTCAGTATAACAGAGTTGTTATCTTGAGATAACAGGTTAATTATCTTGAGATCTCAAGATAATAAATTTGTTATCTTGAGAAGTTAATTGTCTTGTGATCTCAAGATAACAAAGTGGTTTTCTTGAGATAATGACTTGAGTATCCTGTGATCTCAAGATAACAAAGTTGTTAACTTGAGATCACAAGATAATTAACTTATCTCAAGATAACAATCCAGAAAATGATACCTACCTCATGGCCTCTCTGGACTTCTGCAAAGCAAGTATATTTGCCATTACTTACCTTTTTTGGTGCTGTTTGAAACAAATATGTGATGAACTTAGAATGATGGTTCTTCAAGGGTTATTTAGTAAAGACAGTGGTTCTATATAGAACCATGAACAACCAAAAAAATATTTGCATGCTTAAAGGGTTCTTTGCATGGTGAAATGGTTCTTCTACTATATGTAACCAAAAAGGGTTCTGCTACACAACAGAAGAACCCTTTTTGGTGCTATGTAGAACGACTTTCAAAAAGATTCTATATAGAACCATAAACAACACATTCTTCATCAATCTAAATATCCATTTCACCATGCAAAGAACCATTTAATCATGAACTGGGTCTATATAGAGCTCATGGTTCTAAATAGAACCATTGCCTTTACTAAAGAACCCTTGAAGAACCATCTTTTTTAGTTTGTACATTCGGAGTGAGGCGGAATGTGTAAACAGAATTCTTCGCTAAAGTATTCCTTTAAGTGAGATTTGGGACTCTTTATTGGGGGCTGGGAGAGGAGTGTGATTGAAGGGGAAAGTAAGTGGAAGCTCCAGTCTGGGCTGATGCTCTGCGATAACCTCTGCTGATTGCTGCCCGTGTCGTGTAACACAGACATCTGCACGTTTGTGTTTCTAACGTTTTTGAGTGACGAGCTCCAGAGCTCTAATACGTCCCGTAATAAATATGTCAGACTTGTCCAGAAAGGATCTTCTCCTCCCTGGTGTTAATTAAAGCCCACCTTGCTCAGAGAAGTACGGAGGCTGTTACCAATTACCCGTCCGGATTGGTCGTTTCTCATCGTCACTCGTGTGCGCCGATACGACTGCCTTGGAACTGAGCGTTTAATTCCAAAGCCAGAACCTTTAACTTGTTCGTTTTTTTGGCAGTTGTTTGCGCTCCCAGCCAACTCCACACCCATTGCCTCAGATTAATAAACTGCTCGTGGAGTCTGCTAGTGATTTTCTCCACACAGCACGTCCGAAATCACGTCTCCTCTGGGGCTGTGAATAACCTCTGGGAAGTGAATGGGAGTAAAACAATAGTATATAATTTCTTGGAATGTCTTTTTAAAGACTTGCCAGGATGGCATTATGTGGAGCGCGCATGATGTATACATTGGCATTCATCTCCATTTAAACTACCAGGGGAACGACTGCATTCTTTCCTTTGCGAGGTTTCAGAGTCTGAGGTCATTTTGCTTTCGTCCACACTGTTTTACTTTTTTGTCCGTCTTTGTTTTCAAAGCATCTGAGAGGAAGGTAAAATAATGCAGCGCTGGGAAGTTTCAGCAGCTTCCTGCAGATTGAGTTTCGCTCTATCTCTCCTCGACCCAATTAAAACCATCTCTGTCTCTTCACTTGGACACAATTGAATTACATCCTCCAGGTTTCCCTGCCTCCTTTTATTGGTGTTTTGATTTACGTCTCCTTCGTGAAATATATGTGTCGGTGTCTGTTTCCTTGCAGAATGTGGGAGTCTCTCTCTTTTCTGCCTCACTGGGGATCTGCTTTCATGGTAAATCTCAGCTGCCCTCAGAACAGGCCGCGCAGTGCTCAGTTTCACTGAAGTGGCTGACTGTGTTCAGAAAGGAGATGTTATAGAAGCTGGAGTGCCAAGATTCTTTCTGCAAAACATGCTCATGTACACGAAAGGCCATAAACAGCTCTGAACTGGACCCACTGCCCTTCTCAGATAAATGGGATACTTCAGTATTTTTCAGCATTGGAATGCAAGTCATTCAGAGTGGTTTGATGTGAATTGGTTCATCACAGAGGGACTTACTGGCTACAGTGTTGTTACAGTGGTGGTGATAGGAACCAGGGGTCTCAAATATAGCCTTTTTATTTACTATCCAAAACAACCAGAAAACCTACACGTCTTCCGAGTCTTCATATGCACCGTCAATAATTGCCGCTGCATATAATTAAATAATTGGAGTTTTTAAACACCTCAGTGTCACTGCTGGACTGAGAATAGTCCACCAACCAAAAATATCCAGCCAACAGCGTCCTGTGGGCAGCGTCCTGTGACCACTGATGAAAGACTAGAGGATGACCAACACAAACTGTGCAGCAGCAGATGAGCTATCGTCTCTGACTTTACATCTACAAGGTGGACCAACAAGGTAGGAGTGTCTAATAGAGTGGACAGTGAGTGGACACAGTGTTTAAAAACTCCAGCAGCACTGCTGTGGCTGATCCACTCAGACCAGCACAACATACACCATCACACCACTACCACGTCAGTGTTACTGCAGTGCTGAGAATGATCCACCACCCCAA